CTCATATCAAAACAACTTACTCTAAAAGCACTTTTGTTGTCTCATCATAACAAGTGGATTAAACAACTTACCTGTCATAAACAAAGGGGGTTGAAATCATATTAACCGATAGGCAACGAATGGTGTTCCTTTTGTAATATGGATTCTATTCTCCCCGAGAAATATTTTCACTGCCAATTAAAAATTCAGGGCTAAAAGAAAAAACCGCCTGAAATACTGTTAGGAGACCCCAATCAAGTCAATTGCTACGTGACTCCATAAACATTTCCATGATTCTGTCCCATAGACCATGAAGCTGGGGAGAGGGTGGGGAAGGGGAAAGTATGCAAATGCACCTGCCCAAACTGGATGGTGCACTGGTTCCCTTGATGGTAAAATACGCAATGCAAGGACGGTGACCTGTTTCGTGAACATCAGGATATTTAGTTGGAGAGCGGGGACTTCTGCTCGGGGTCCTGGAGATTCCCGGCTGTGGCCCAATTCTTGGCCAAGATGGAGCAAGGCTCCTTAGGCAAGGAGAGCAGTACGGAGGGATGAAGAGGAGGAGAAGAGGAAGTTGGGAGAATGGAGATGGTTCATTATACCGGGTGTCAAGAGGGCTAGGTTCCCACCTCACCTGTGCCCGTAATTCGCGGTCTCTTGGCATCAGCTTCTTCCATCTGGAAAAGAAGATGGATGGATCAGCAGTTCTCAACCTGTGGGTCTCAACCCCTTTGGGGGTCGAACGACCCTTTCACAGGGGTCAACTAAATACATGCTGCATATCAGATATTTACATTTCGATTCATAACAGTAGCAACATTACAGTTATGCAGTAGCAACGAAAATAATTTTATGGTTGGGGGTCACCACAACATGAGGAACTGTATTAAAGGGTCGTGGCATTAGGAAGGTTGAGAACCTCTGGATTAGATGATCAATTCTATTCCGTCCACGTGGGACTCTGAGTCGTTCCAGGGGCCTCACCAAGGAGGTTGCAGGCCGTTAACCAAGGTGCCTCCCTTGGGCCCCCTCTGCCCCGCGGCCCTCTAGCTCCACCCGCCCATCTAACCCCCAGGCGGGCCCCTGAGAGCCGGACCGCCCCGTGCGCGCCCCAACCACGTGACCCTGACTGCGCCGCCCCGCGTCCTGGGCCACGTGACCCTGCCCGCGAGCCGTCCCAGCAGCCATGGCGGCGGCGGCGGCGGGGCCCGCAGATCCCCAGTCCGGGCCCGCAGCGGGCGCCCGCTTCTTCTGCACCGCGGGCCGCGGCTTGGAGCCCTTTCTGATGCGGGAGGTGCGGGTGCGGCTGCAGGCCACGCAGGTGAGTGGGCCTCGCTGCGCCGGAGGGAAGGGGGAGGCCCCGCCGCTGCACCCCTCCCCGCCGGTCCGACCGAGACCGGGGAAGCGACGCGACCCCCGCTCTCCGCCCACACGCGCCGCGGCCCCGGCCTCGGAGTTGCACCGGCAGGTCCTGCAGTTCTTCCCGGAAAGGCCCCCCGTCGTGTTTCCCTGCACGTCCATTACCGCACATCATTCCCGGCCGAAGTTTTTTAAAAAGGGGGTTGAAGCAAGTTGTTTCCTGGATTCTTTAACAGAAAACGTTTGATAGTGTCTGTAATTAGAGCTAGACCTGTCAGATAGAACCCTTTCTCCGCCCTTTAGTGCAAATAAACTGCAGGTTCAGTTCCCTGATCCCATTCAGTTTCCTGCCGGCGATGGTACTGACTTTATATGGTGTTGGGAGGATTAAATGATAAAAAGTGCACCTGAAACAGTCAGTAATAGCCACAGAAATACAGTACTCTGAGGCCCCAGCCCAATTTTCAGAGAAAGTTAATAGTTTCGGTATTTACAAGTTGTTAATTTTAGTGAACAAGGTTCTAAACATCAGTTTGGGTTCATTTAGAATAGGCTGAGCTGGTTTCTTGAAAGCAGAAGAAAAAGATGTAACTGAACCCTCCGTATCCTGGTGGGTAATATGAGAGGGCACATGATGTCTTATTGGAAAAGGAAAGATGAAGCTCATGATTCCAGCAGCTTCTCTGTTGTTGGAAGCCCACAAAAGTAGTTTCTGCAGTGTGTGTGGGGGGGGGGGGGGAGAGAAGTTCATGGGAATGTCATCAGTCTTACTAGACTACCTGCATTTGTGGATCTGATCACAGACTTTAATAGTGTCTGATGTAGCTCATCGAAAAAGCAATATAATAACAACTGCTGACATTAAGCATTTAATGTATGTCAGGCACCTGTTCTTAGGTACTTACTCTGTATTCACTTGTTTGATTTTCACAACCACCCTGGGAGGTAGGCTTCACATTTAACAGAAAAGGAAACTAAAGCATAGGTAAATGCAATACATTGTTCAAGGCGTGTAACAGAAAATGGCAGAGCTGGGATTCGAACCCAAGCTGTCAGGCAGGCTGACTCCTGGCTCCAGTCCTTGACCGCTATGCGACCATGACCTAATGCTGCACTAATTTGTTTTAAAAATATTAACTTAGAGTTCTTGGTATGAAAAATAGAAGGCTTGACCCAATCTGGGTATGTCAGAAAAAAGACCCTCTCTGCTTGTTATCCATCTTTTTTTAAAAAAAATATGTTTTTATTGATTTCAGAGAGAGGAAGGGCGAGGGGTAGAGAGATAGAAATATCAAATGATGAAAGCGAATCATCCATCGGCTGCCTCCTGCACGCCCCCTAGTGGGGATCAAGCCTGCAACCCCGTCATGTGCCCAAAACTGTGATCTCCTGGTTCATGGGTTGATGCTCAGCCATTGAGCCACACTGGCTGGGCATCCATCTTCTTTACAGACAAAAAGAGGTTGGGGGGTAGAAATGTATTTTAATCACAGCAACAAAATTCAGCTTATTATAGGGGAAAACCTTTGGCGTTGAGAAGAATTAAATGCCAAGAGACTTGGGAATTTCCGTATTTTGTTACTCTGTGTTTTAAGGGTAGATATGCCTGGAAATGGGATCTGAACAAATAACCATGCTGTTGATTAGATTCCCAGAACTTGTTAAACTTATAATCAGAAGTATTTGGGTTTTAATTGGTGTCAACCTAGGCCGAAGTGATGGCGAACCTATGACACGCGTGTCAGAGGTGACACGCAAACTCATTTTTTTGGTTGATTTTTCTTTGTTAAATGGCATTTAAATATATAAAATAAATATCAAAAATATAAGTCTTTGTTTTACTATGGTTGCAAAGATCAAAAAATTTCCATATGTGACCCGGCACCAGAGTTAAGTTAGGGTTTTTCAAAATGCTGACACGCCGAGCTCAAAAGGTTCGCCATCACTGGCCTAGGGCTTCCTCAGCAGAGATTCTTCTTCAAGCTAGAATGTTAAACCCAGACATTCCATCCGAAAAGTTTAGACCATGTCAGATCAAAAAAACAAAAGTACTTGGAGTTCAGCTTCCCATTGAATGGGAGCTGCCTAAACACATGGGTACCCCAAATTCCCTGGTGCCTCAGTTCTAGGAGATGAGTTATAACCATGTGGTCAGCCCCTGGCCACTGCTAAAAGGAGAATTTCAGGACAATCTACACCCATCCTGAATTAAGGGAGTTGGGTTGACCCAAAAGGTTTAGGGTTCCATGGGTATTGAGCACCATTTGCCATACCTCATAAGACTCCCCATAGTCAGTGCTCTTTTCACTTTCTTTTACCTGACTTTCACCACATATCTACCCTATCTCCAAAGCCTAGTTCTGTTTGATGCATATTTCTTGCTCCCATCCATTTTTCAGTTCCCACAGCCAAGTGTCCCATTCTTTCTTCCTCACTAATCTACTTCTCCCTCCAGCATCACATCTACACTCAGTCCTTTATGCTTCTTCCAAAGTAATTTTTTTCCTACCAACTAATTTGGTGCTGTCAGTTTTCCTCAAAAGTCTATAATGTTTGACCATTACCATCTGTGGTACTCCATTCCATGACCATTTATCAGGCTGGTCCAAGCTATACCATCCATCCACCTGACACTCAGTCAGCATAACACAGCACATGTTGCCATGCTAACTTACAGTTTCCTTCAGCCAGGTTGTCACCCCACCTCTGCATTTTGCCCTTTGTTCTTTCCTTAGAATCCCTCTTCCCAGATCTTGTAAGATTTTTCTTCAAGACTTTTACTAATGATGGCTTTCATATTCAGTGTTACATACCATACATACAGCTTATTGTTAAGTTTATTGTATTGAAACTTTCTCGTTTTCTTCTGGGTTCAATTCACGTTACTGTCTTATAAATTTTACATTTTAATTTGTATGTCAGAGTATCGTTATTCATCTTTAGGATATTTGCTTCTGGTAGACCACACGGTAGGTGTTTAATAAATACCCATTGACCTTGGGCTAGACACCTACTACTTTTTCCTAGCCATTATACCTTTTCTTTGCCCACTTTCAAATACTGTGTGAGATTTGGCAATATAATTACTGAGTATTTTGTGTTCTGTTTTTCTAGTAGTGTGTGTACATGCATATACGCATGCACAGTTTGCAAATGGTAGCATAACATAATAAGATTATGGTCTTGGTCACTGACTACGTGACTTTATACAAAATTTTTAACCTACCTAAGCCTGTTTCCTAATCTGTAAAATGGGGGTGATAAAGTCTACCTTAGAGAATTGTTATAAGGCTGAGGAAAATAAATGTATTCAGAATTCCTAAAACAGTGTCTGACAAATACTAGATACTTCAGAAATGGTCATTTCTGTTGTTAATCTAGATGTTCTGTTTTAATTCATTAAGGGGGGGGGGAGAAATGGTTCTTACTCTATACTAGACTAAATTAATATCTATTTTTTATGTCTCTAGGTTGAATATGTTTCAGGAAAAGTTTTTTTCACCACCTGTTCTGACTTGAATATGCTGAAAACATTAAAATCTGCAGAAAGATTATTTTTGCTGATTAAAAAGCAGTTTCCATTTAATGTTTCTTCTGTAAGTAAAGGTATGGTGTATGCCCACACAATATATGTACTCCAGAATTTTCTGCTTGATAATTAATAAGTAGCCATTTGACATTTTTAAGATTTATTTCTAACTTGGGCTCATTATTTTTCTATGTTTTCTGAATATTATCACCTCATTATATTATCACCTAATTGTGTCTCTTCTCTTTACAATCTGCTGCCTGTCTTACTAAGATTTAGTGCCCTAAGTCACATTTCATCTTTGCAAATTCTGATCAGACACCTTCTCTACAGTTATATATGGTCAGTTGCATTTATTTAGATTTAGGACATGTAAGAATCCAAAATGCATTGTCTTAATAAATTGTTCAAAACTACCACCTTGTAAATTTTAACTAATGAGTGATATAATTGAAAAAATACTGTATAGTAAAATATCCTGTTTTAGGGATCTTAAATGTTTGAATAAACTCTTAACCATTTATAAAGCATTAGAATTAAAGGGAGCTTAAGAGATATCTATTATTATAAATATGCTTAAGGATCTTGATAAAAGCAACAAATAAGGGCCAGACATTGCTGGATTACACATTGCCTTAAACTTCATTTTGACTGCTGATTATGTAAGTGTATAATCTATAATAAATTGTATCAAGGAAGGTACAAATGGCAAGAAATCAAGACATGGCAGAAAAAATATTTTAAAGCAAATACTAAGATGTTATATTGTGGGATCAATATCGTTTCATTCCAATAGTCCACACATTCTCAATATTAGAGAAATACAGTAATGGCTCTTGAGTCATCTTGATGACCCTTGTTCATCAAGAAAAGATTACATTATTTTGAGTAAGTTATGAATGGGTTGCGTACCTGAAGTGTTCCTTTATGGAAACTCCTTTTATGATGTGTGCTAATACTGTATGGTCTGAAATAGTCTCAGAATTTAGTTGCTCTGTTTCTGAGCTATGTGTTTTGTAATTCTATTTTTTTTCCAACTTAATTTTATAGGCAAGATTAGCATTATTTCAAAGATTGATATACACTCTAGGTCTATGCTTATATTAAAGAGATACATATATTATCATAGGACAAATGATCTTTCTATATGAATGATATAGGTAATTCTATAGGAATTTTAAAATGGTTTTGATGTTTGGTATAGAATATAAGAATGAACCTATTTGGCACAATATTCTTACATTAAATGAGATAAATTCCATACGAAAGTGAAGTCACTCTTCATGTAGTAGTTTAAAAAAAACTTATTTTATAAAAATAAAAATAATGGCATTTAGGGGTGATGAATATAATAGACTGTCTTTAAAGCTTCAATATAGGATAAACTGAAATTTTATTTATTTAGGAAAAATATTTTATGAAATGCAAAGATTTATAAGTGATGATCCTGAAAGTTGGTTGAATGCCATTTCGATTTGGAAAAATCTTCTTGAACTTGATGCAAAAAAGAAAAAACTGTCTCAAGGAGTTGCTAACCCACTAAAAAGAAAAATGGGAGAAAATGACAGCATTATTGCTAAGAAAGTAAAAGCAGAACAAATGCAAGAAACACAAAAGAATAGGGAATGCCAGCTGGAAAAGCAAATAGAAGAGGAAACACTGGAGCGAGGAGATTTTCTCACTGAAAGAGAGAAATGCCAAGAAGAACTTCAGAATGATGTAGCAAAAGCAGGAGATACTCATGACCAGAATGACTTGACCTTCAGAGTTTCTTGTCGCTGCGGTGGAGCCATTGCAAAGACCCTTTCTGCACAGGTACACTTACCTCCAAAGTGGCTTTCTATTTTCTAGATGAATTAACTACTCCTTCGATTTAAAATGAGACCAAAACCTTTCACAGAATAGATAACTCGGCTCAGGCAGATAACTTGGCCTAATATAATAATTAAATCTCTTTAAAAATGCATTTTCCATTTTAACTTTATCTCAGCTTCTTAATAGGAATAGTATGCCATGTACTGACCTCCTTTACTTACTAAGTTTTCTTAAACTCACAAGTATCTTTTGCATTTGGAAATCCTGATATCATGGTCTTAAGCTTTTTGGGTTTCTCTTCAGTTTAGTTCTGTTTATTGAGTGATTACTCTGCACCAGGCCCGATAGGTGTGATTATCGCTAGAACCCAGACATAAATACACTCAAGGTCTCAACTCTCTATGAGAGGGTGAACACTACAGTTTCTTTAAAAAACCCATGTTAGTGACCCTTACAAAGTTCAGTGATATAAAAGGCATATAGCCATAGGTTTGGATTCTTTGTCCAACCTTAAAATCAAACCCTAAAGTCCGAGTCTAATGTTACCGATCTGGTCATTTTTAAACATATAGTCTTGCAGTAGGTAAATTAATCTTTCAGCTTGAATCCATTTCCTAAAACCCAGAATGGCTTTATCAGGTCATGATTTGGTTATTTCACGTCTCAAAAATCACAAGAATAGAGATTGCACATAAGTAGATATTACTGCCATAGAATGAATTTGGGGAGGGGGAGGAGGATGAAAGAGGGTGTAATATTTTAATATTGTAATTTAATATTGTAATTCTAAATTACCATTGGATAGTCTGCCTTGATGTTCCTACTGACTGTTAGTAAAATCTTACATCTTACTAGAGGCCCTTTCATGCACTGGTAGGGTCCCTAGCAGCTGCCCGCCAGGTACTCCCTCCCTTCCCCTGGCTGGCCCCGCCCCTTGGTCAAACTCCCAGTCAAACTCCCAGTGGAGGGGACAATTTGCATACTACGCTTTTATTATATAGGATACTTAAATTTTTCATTTATAATATTTTTATCTTTTCTATAACTTGCTGCTTTTTCAGGAAGTAGGAAGAATAATTGGAATTGCTCTTATGAAACAGTTTGGATGGAAAGCAGATTTGAGAAATCCAAACTTAGAGGTAATGAACGTTTATTTTATTTTATATGCTTATAACCTAATTCTTTAAAGACAATGTCAAAACTAATCTATTGTACTTTTCAATTTTGCTTTAGAGTTTCAAACAGCATGGCTGCATGGATCTAGCAGTCTGATTTTTTTCTTTTATAGAACAGTGCAGATAATGATGTTAATAATGGCTTTGTTAGGGTTGTAGGATTATGTTTTACTTTTCTGTTTCTCTATTTTTAAAAATTGATGAGGTTACACTGTTAATTGGAATAAAATAAAACACATGAGGAAATAAATGCAAGTTATAAAAAATAATCTTCACTATTTTTTTGAGAATCAGCTCATAAATTTGACATGTAGTAGTATAGTCATTTTCATCATTCATTTGTAAATTCATTGTTATACAGCTGTAAATGAAGTAGTTGCTAGCCAAAACAGAACATTTTGTGTTGTTTTATTTTTTTATTCTTTAATGTACTTTTCACTTTTAAAAAGTAATATCTTTTATACCTGACATGTAAAATACTTTGACCCCAAGAATATTCTGACGTAAGGGGTCTTCCTTTCATCTCTCCCTTCTGCTCTCTGGTTTCCTCCTCTTCATCTTCTTTTTGATTATCTTCCTATCTCAGAATTACGGTTTTCCATAGTTTAACTCATGAATAAATATAGATAATTGAATTCCTATCATCCACTTAATTCAATTAATGTTAGCTATTATTGATAACAATCAACACAAAATAAAATTGGCAACATGAAAATCACACAGTAAAATGTGTGACCAAAATTGACAGAAGAATCAAATCTTAGCAAATTTTGCTCTGTTAAATTAATAGAAAAAAATTCATAGAGGGTGAAGCTATTCTTAATAACATTTGATATATAAAAATAACAGTACATCCTATCATTACTAGAAATTTTAAATAGAATTAATCCAAATAAATAATTTTGCTAAAGTTGAATAATATAAAAAATTGGAAACTTTAGCTGTGATGATCAAGGAATTAAATTGACTAAAGGGAATTCATTTCAGATCTTTTTTTTCTTGATGAAAAGTTATCAATATTGGAATAATCCTGATTAAACTGCATATATATAAAAGTAATCTGGGAGTGAAAGTATTGTGGTTTAAATGCTCTTGAGGTCAAACAGCAGAATTAGAATATTCCATAAACTTCATCAGATTACAGAAGTAAGATTCTAACTTTTAAAGTGTATTGGGCTACTAATTATAACTTGAGACATTTAAGAACTTTATGGTTTGACGAAGAAAGAGAGGAATAAAATCACCTATCGATAGTAGAGAGAGAAAAGGTCACTGGTGTCTACAATATATTTGACCTGAAGAAAGTTTCCTGTCACACTAATAGTATGTAGCCTGAGGTAGTCCTGTGTGGCCTCAAATTATTTGAGGTTAGAATTAGGATGGATTTAGGAAATCTCTAACCCCAAATGCTGAAAAGTCTGATTCAGTTATGATAATTCAGAGAATCTTTAGGAAGAATGTGGATCTTGAGTTCTTCATAACTTGAATCTCCATATAACTTGCCTACAAAATTAACCTCAAAATTTTTCTATGAAATGTACTTAAAATTTATTTCACCTCTGCTTGAGAAAAATAGTATGGAACATTTTTCCATATATGACAAATAAGGCCTTGGAATTTTTTATTAGAAATATAGTTTATATAGGTTCAAAATAGAAATTTTCAAATTATCAATAATTTGATAATGCATTTTCTATTCTATTCTAACTTATGTATTTGTTCTTTCAGATATTTATACATCTAAATGACATTTACTCTGTTATGGGAATTCCTGTGTTCAGGTATTTATATCTTAAACTCAGATTTATCCCTTAGGAGAGTTTTTAAAATTAAGAACGTTATGCTTTTCATTTATAGTATGAAACATTGATACAACAGAGGGGGCTAAAGGCAAAGCATGTGAGTTCTTTACTTTAGCCAGTAAATTGTTTCCATGGAGCTTAGTGGATATGATTTGATCTGACCAGTAGAGCTGTGCAAGAATTTATCACAATAATCCACTGATTGCATGATTCAGACTGAAAATTATATCTAATTATTTCTATTATTAAATGATTTTCACAGGCCCTTGTTTAAGCTAAAAATTTTAGTCTCTTTGCATCTTGGAATTTTAATTAAAATAAAAAAAAAACAGCACAATTCTTAAAATTCACTTTGAACATTAACTGTATACAGCTATGTTACACTGTACATGTGTAGCATAATGAATAAGAACTATGGACTTAAATTCTACCTTCTCAACAGATTAACTGCAAGTTTGGGCAGATTATCATATTCCTTTGCTATAAAAGCAGGAAAATAATAGTACCTACTTCATTTGCTTTGTGTTTGGGATTAAATGAGATGAAAATGCTTGGTATGTCTGGCTGGCATGGCTCAGTGGTTGAGCATCGACCTATGAAACAGGAGGTCACAGGTCACAGTTCAGGACACATGCCTGGGCTGCGGGCTCCATCCCCAGTGTGGAGAGTGCAGGAGGCAGCCAATCAATGATTCTCTCTCATCATTAATGTTTCTCTCGCTCTCTTCCTCTCCCTTTCTCTCTCAAATCAATAAAAATATTTTTTTAAAAAGAAAAAGAAAATGCTTGGTACTATTTCTAGGCTACAGTAAGTGTTGAATAAATTTCAACTACCTTATTTCTGAAATAGATCAGTAACTAGGGAAGGAAGGGAGAGACATTAGAGTAAGATTAATTTATTCAGTTAATTTCAGTTGAAATGTCTAATGAATACTTATTATATGCTAAGCACTGTGCTGTTTATCAACATTCAGAGATGAGGAAGATGGTTATTAAGTTCAAGGAATTCAATTTAGTGGGAGAACAAAGGTGGGTGAAAAATGCTTGGCTAGAGTTAGAAAAGGGACCTAACTCTGATGGAGGACGGGAGCAAATGAACATAGAAGAGATTCATTTAACGAATCACTTAATGGAGAACACTAAGGAGGGGTTCCCCAGCTGGACAAGAGAAGGAAAGGACCTCACAAGCAAGGACTTGCAAAGGCATGGAGGTAGAGAAAGCTTGCGTTATGTGGGGACAGCCAGTGGTTTCAGTGCAGATGGGACAGGGGATACATAAGGAGGGTGGTAGAAAATGAGACTGAGCAATTAGAAACAAGTCATGAAGTGTCTTGGAAGCCATGCTGAGCAACTTGGATTTTATTCTAAAAGCAGTAAGCATATGAAGCAGCAGAGTGATGTGATCAGATTTGTGATTTCTGAGATATTACTAAGGAAATTACATTTTTTAATGAAGGGGAAATGAAAAGAAAAAGGTTCAAACTCTTACAATAGTTCAGGCAATAAATGATGAAGAGCTGAACTGAGGCAAATTGGGGATAACAAAAAGAAGGGCATGAATTCCATAAAGTTAAGGAGCCTAGAATAATGGCCAGATACCTGATTTGGACAACCAGTAGATGCTAGTGTCAGTCACTGAGATAGAAAATGTAGGAACAGTAGTGTATTCAATGAAAAATGTCTATGAATAGATATTTAAGTTATAGCTCAGGAGTTCCAGTGACAAGCCTAGGCTGGAGATTTAGATTAAGATACACAATATATAGAAGGTAAGTGGCCCGAGAAAATGAAGAAATGTATCGAGATATGAAATACAGGGAAAGGACTGTGCACAGTTTACACCTGTTGAATTGGCAGTACTCTAGGTAAAAAGTGTCCAAACACACATTTAAAAATTAAGATCTGGGATTCAGATGACAAGTCTACGAACAATAAAAACATTTACTTTGGTCACATGTTAATAGGGTTGGCTCCCATAAAATAAAACCTCTATTGGTAAAAATATACACATAATTGTCAAAACTTTCAGAGGTTCTACATAAATCCCTGATGCTTAGAAAGGCACTTCGCAATATATAGGGTGTCCCCAAAAAATGTATATGCACACTTTGAATAATTAGGAAGGCAGTGTTTATTAAAATACATTTAATTTCAAAATTGAGCTATCAGCTATTAAAGTGTATATACATTTTGGGGGATACCCTGTATATGGACAAAGACAGTTTTCCATACCAAGTCTATTTTGGTATCTAAGAGTGAAAAATAATCTCTCAATTCTGGTTTTAATATGTTTTGTAGCAAGACAGTTGCCCAGCCTAGACTGTAGTATCAAGATTCATTGATCAAAATATTTCCTAGTCATTCCACCTGCAAAGTTTATATTCCAGATTCCAAATCTATGGCTATAATACTGTCTGCAGTGTGAATTCTTTTCTGAAAAACCTTTAAAAAAACAAACTCCCATGGGTTTACCTGCAGAACTTCCTTATTGTAACAGTAAATATACAATTACACTGTTTAATTTGAAAGAGATACCTCATCTAATTGTAACATTTTAAGAGGCTTACCATAAATGCACACAAAACAGGGTAACTAAAGTCAAAGACAGATCAGAAATAAAATGACAAAAGACATAGGGTTTGGAGAACACAGTAACTTTGTATAATGTTCAGAGAAGAGCCCTCTTAGTGGTTTTGGAACAAGCCTACCCCCAAAACAACAAAGCACTAATCCTCGAAATCAAATAGTCATATCTTACCAACAAATTATATAAATGAAATTGAAAAGTGCATTCAAATTTCTTTTTTAAAAAAATATATTTTATTGATTTTTTACAGAGAGGAAGGGAGAGAGAGAGTTAGAAACATCGATGAGAGAGAAACATCAATCAGCTGCCTCCTGCACATCTCCCACTGGGGATGTGCCCGCAACCCAGGTACATGCCCTTGACCGGAATCGAACCTGGGACCTTTCAGTCCACAGGCCGATGCTCTATCCACTGACCCAAACCAGTTTCGGCTACATTCAAATTTCTAAGGTATTCTTTGCATTAGATGCTGTAGAAATAATATTTTGAAAATTTTTATCAAATCTGGAAACACTGGTAGCACTGATGAAGTGGAGGATGAAGTATGAAGTGGTAGATAATGGAGACCAGAGAACTCATTTGGGAGATGTCTGCTTCATGCAGACAGTGCAATGTCATGCTTCATTTCATCTTTTGAGAGAGATGCAAATGAGCAAAAAACAAACTTACAAAAGGGACTTTTTACAGAAAACGATTTCAAGTGTTAGTATCCATCCAGTCCTGCCTATACTACATCCCTGTCACAAAACAGCAGGTGCTTCTTGACTCCTGATCAGCACACAAAAGGTCACTTCCCTACGGGAAAACGGAACTGCTAAAACATTTTAGAAAAATCCCCCTCATGTGATAACATTTTTATAAAGTAAACACAATAGGGTTTAAATTGCTGTTATTTAAACATTCTACCTTTCTAAAGTACCACACTAGCTGGTTAAACAAGGTGTCAACTAGAGAAGGTATTTCTGTGATAAGGTTAAGTACTCCCAACTCAGAGAATACTGTAGTGTGTGTTGCATGAACATGGTGAGATAATTCACAGACATGGACAGGTTAATCATTTTATTTATATCAGGTTCTTCTTTAACTTATAGTTGTATTGGATCTCGCATCAGGTTCTTTTTCCTTTGTAGGGTTCCTTTAGCCAGCAGAGCTTACATCAGGACAGCAGGACTGAGGTCTACCATAGCGTGGGCAATGGCCTCTGTCGCTGAAATTAAGGTAAGGAAAATGTTTTCTTTCTTGTTAATACATTAGTGAGGTTCTTTCCGTAATTAACTTACACAGTCTCTTATTTATGGACATCTTGATTGCTTACTTTTTTTCTGTTCTCTTTTTCTTTTATCATTTTCTTTTGCTAGTTTTGTTCGTTTGTTTTTGTCATTGCCATTGTGCTTACAAAGTTCTGCAGTGATATGTTTTTAAATATTGTTGAACTTCTGAGAGTATTTTGCCTATGAAAAAGCTGGGTTAAAAGATAGCCACATTTTATTCTTCCTAATATTTTGTGTTACAATGACATGGCCTGAAAAACCTCTACTTCCTAAAATTTAAGTTTTTCTCCTGTGACCAAATATTGATCAATTTTTATAAATGTTCCATGGACATTAAAAAAAAGATTTATTTTGTAGTCAATGTCCTCGCTATCTTTGCTTACTCTTTTACTATCTGCTTACTTTGGGAAGGTATTTGAAATCTCATTGATATTTTTTTAAGTTTTTGCATTTTTATTAGTGGTTGCCTTATTCAGTAGTTTGGTACACACAGTCTGCTATTGCTTCATCATGGTTGTACCTTTTTATTATTACGTAAGTTTTCTTTATCTTAAATAGTGAGTTAAAACCTAAATTTTGTCATGTGTTATTAGTATTTTCACTCCTTTATCTTTGTATTTGCCTAATATGTCTTTGATCCTCCCTTATTTTCAACTTTGCTTTCAGTGAGTTTTTACGAACACACAGCTCTGTTTGTATCCCACTCTGATGGTCTCTGGCTTTCGATGAGAGAACTCAGTATAATGACAGACACACCTGATTGTATTTCTCCTATTTCACTCTGGTTATAACTTCTTACCGTTGACTGTTTTTATTTTTGCTAGTTTGATCAAGTTACTTCATAATCATTTCATTGTTCTCCCTGAGGTTGGAGATTTTACTTTTTTGTGTAGTCCATGAACAGTCCCCTTTCCCAGCTCTCTTAATTAAACACACAGGACTCTACTATTATTTTAAAGCAAGGTCATCTCCTTCCTCTGCCAAGATAGTTGTTACCACCAAGATGAGGCCTCTAGAGTACTGCTTCCTCTCCTCCTGGCCTACCTTTCCTCCTCCCTGCAGTGAGACCTTTGAATGATTTCATCTTTCACTCCCAACCCCAACTACTAGATTGAACTGAATTATTTATCAAATATCAGATTTCCCTTAAAGTATGTCCCTTCTGTTTCAAAAGTTCTTATTTAGCCCTTATATTACACAGCCTATCCTTCATTATTAAGATAGAAAGAATTGTATGTAGCAAACACATATTTCTGTGCAAACACACAAAGATATATTGCAGGGTGTATCACTCCTCACCATGCTCCACATTGTCTTGTCTTTCCCCATTTGAGGTCTCTGCTCGGGTTTGTTTATTGCTTGGTTAAGGTCTTGGCTTAGGTATTTTCCTCACATGTGGTATTTTAATAATTTACTATCTGAATTTCTATATGTCTCAGATCTCTCCCTTTCATCCTGGTGGGCATGCCCTTCTTGGCTTGAGTTGGAGTCCTTTTCTCTCGGATGTCGATAGGTGCTGTCCGTTGTCTTTTAGCTTCCCATGTTGCAGCTGAGTTGTCCGTGCCAGTATGGTTTTCTTTTCCTTTATAGCTACCTTGTTTTTCTGCTCAGCAGTTCATAAGACTTTCCTCTTTAGTCCTATAAGGTTCAGGAATAGTACCAGGATATACTTCTATAAATGCCTTTTCTATTCAGTCCGTATCTCGGTGAGTCTGACTGCCTGGGTTCTAATTCTGGTTCCACCACTTACTGGCAGGGAAACCTTGGGCAAGATACTTAACATCTTTGTTCCTCAGCTTCTCATTTGCAAGATGAAAAGAAACATTTCATAATCATGTGAGATTCAAATGAATTAGCATTTTTCAAGTGATTTCACAGTGCCTAAAATGAGAAAGTGTATAAATATTAGCTACTATTATAGTAATAATTATAGTTATACTTATTTGGAATAGCTAATGATTATTTTAAAAAGTTATTGTTATTTCTCTAGCTCAGGCACTTTTTCTCATTATTTAATTATTACCTCAACTGCTTTGCGTTAGTGACTTTAACCTTAAACTACTCTGTTTTCTGCTTCTGAAATTTTTTCTCTCTTTCTTTCTCTCTCAGGACATTTTGTTTCTTTCCATTAGGTACCCTCTGGCTTTGACTGAAACCTGACCATCCACTGAGCATTCTGCTTCCTCTGTAGACATATCAAGGGACCACTGGGCCTGGAGGTGGGGTAGGTGTCCTGCTTGCTTGTTCCTTTTGCCCAAAGCCTCTCAGTGCCTCTGAGGCACACGCCATCAGGTTATTACAGTTACACACAGATCTCTTTCTGTCATTTCTGTAAGTGTAGGAGACCTTATTCTTGTATAATTCTCTATGATCCCAATATCCACTTTGGAACCTGGCCCCTCAAGGTCTTGGCTTCCTACTTCTAGTGACCTGCCTTAGTTGTATCCTAAACCTTCTTATACCCAGTAGGGAATACCCCCCAAAATCTCAATTTCATGAGTCCTCTCTTAACCACCTTTCCTTTCCTGCTCACATCCTCCAGCACCCTAACATAGTTCTTTAACCTCTTGGGCCTCCAGTCATTTGACCCACCCCTGCCCATTACTTAACCACCTGTCCTCTTCCGTGGCCCACAGCTTGAATTTTATGTTCCACCGTTACAGTCATTTCCTTGCCCATGCTTTTAACTCTCCTGATTCTTATATGACTTAAATACTAGAATCAGAAGTGAACTTCAACATGTTCTCCTCACCAAATCTACCAACGAACCAGAATCTGTGCCCACATACGTTTTCCTTGTTTCACTCCATTACTTGTGGACTGGATTTTGGTCCCTGTTAGCTATATAAGGACTTTCTCTCTACTGGTCATTCTCATCAGTGGGAACACTTGCTGTATAATATCTTGCAGCTTGAAAAAAATTCTTCTCCTGAAGGCACATGCTCCTTCAGCTACCACCCCGTTCTGTTTCCTTTTACGGAAAAACTCATAAAACTATTTGTCCATACTTGCTGTCTCTCCCTCTTTTCTTCCCATTCTCTCTTGTGCCCACTTCCATCAGGCTTTCACCAGCACTCCCCTGACACTGCTCATCTCACACTTACCCTACCAGCACTCCCACACCTGCAGCTCCCTCCTCCTTGAAGTGGTCCTTCCAGTTTGTTTCGGGAAGATCACTCTGGTTTCTCCTCCTACATGAGCATGTGCAGCTCTCAGCATGCACTGCTGCATCTTCATCTACCAACGTTGTACTTAAGAGATCACCAGGATCCAACCCATCGACTTTCCTTTTTAACTTATCTCGCCTCCTGGATGACTCATCCAGTTCTGGTGCTTTAAGTACCATCTGTAAACTACACTGATACTCCCAAATGTGTATCTGTAGCCTGAACCTCTCCCCTGAACTCCAGACTCATATGTCCAGTGACTCACTTGGTCTCTATAGTTGGTCTAGGAGTATCTCAAAATTAACATGCCCAGAACTGTACTCTTGTCTCCTTTGAAGCTTCTTCTCCCCAGTTCTTCCCACCTCAGTAACAGGCACCTCTGCCCTTCTAGGTGCACAGGTCAAAGCTTTACTCATTTCAGACTGTTGTCATACTTCAACATTCCACATCCGATCTAACCTGTTGGCTCTCCCTTTAAAATATATCCAGAATCCAACCAACCACTTCTCCCCACTTCCACCAATACCACTCCTTTTTGTTGTTGTTGTTAATCCTCACCCATGGATATTTTTCCATTGATTTTTAGAGAGTGGAAGGGAGAGAGGTAGGGGGGAGGGAAGAGAGAGAGAGAGAAACATCTATGTGAAAGAGATGGTTGCCTCCTGAACACGCCCCAATGAGGTTAGGGATTGAACCTGCAACCCAGGTACATGCCCTTGACTGGGAATCGAAATCAAACCCACAACCCTTTGGTGCACAGGCTGCTACTCTAATCACAGTGTAACACCGGCCAGGGCAACCACTCTTAATTTAAGCTGCTGTCATCTCCTGGACCCCCTAACCAGCTCTCTGTTAACACTCTTACCCTCTGTTCTATTCTCAACAGATAATCTAGAACAGGGGTCCTCAAACTTTTTAAATAGGGGGCCAGTTCACTATCCCTCAGACCGTTGGAGGGCCGGACTATAGTTTAAAAATAAACTATGAACAAATTCCTATGCACACTGCACATATCTTATTTTGAAGTAAAAAAAACAAAACGGGAACAAATACAATATTTGTATTTGCATGTGGCCCGCGGGCTGTAGTTTGAGGACCCCTGATCTAGAATGATCCCTCTGAAATGTAATGTTATCTTACTTCTCTGCTCAGAACTCTCCAATAGTTCTCCATCCTTCAGAATAGAATCAGAATTCTTACAGAGTCTACCAGATCTGACCTGTGACCACCCAGGGTGGGAGTGATTAGTTTTTTTCTCCAAATTTCGTGTTCTTTTCCCAGGTGCAGATAGGATAACAGTTTCCTGGACCCTTAAAATTGGGTGTGTCATGTGACTGACATGCTTTAGCCAGTTAAATGTTGGTGGACATGTGTGTCACTTGTAGATGGCACCTTTAAGACCTAACCCATAATTTGTCATACTGTTTTTCCTTCTGCCACAGTGACAGCAGTGCTCCAAATGGTGACCACTTTGTCAATTTGGCTTCCAGAGAAAGGAGCCGAAGCCCCCAGTGCCTTACTGTGGGCACGTAACATGAGGTTATATGGTGTTTAAAACTCTAAGGCAATGGTTCTCAACCTTCCTGATGCCACGACCCTTTAATACAATTCCTCATGTTGTGGTGACCCCCAACCATAAAATTATTTTCGTTGCTACTTCATAACTGTAATTTTGCTACTGTTATGAATCGTAATGTAAATATCTGATATGCTATATGTGTTTTTTGATGGTCGCGACCCACAGGTTGAGAACCGCTGCCTAAGGTTTGGACATTGCTACTATAGGCAGCAGACACCAGCCCATCTTGATGGAATCACCTGCCAACCTCTCTGATATGATCACCACTTTTTCCCTCTCTCTCAGTGTGCTTTGGCCATACTGGTCTCCTTTCTAAGCTTTAAACATGCCAAGCATATACTTGCCTTAGGGCTTGAACTACCTGAAATTCCTAAAGTGTGAAAAGGAATCTTTACTCTTAAAATATTGATTCCTCAAATGTTAGGTTTCTTCTTTTATAATGCCTGTTAGATTTAATAGTACCAAATCAATATTTCTGTCTATAGGCTGGTGCATTTGTTTTAGATCCAATGTGTGGACTCGGAACAATACTTTTGGAAGCAGCTAAAGAGTGGCCGGTAAGTTCTAAACTTTGGTAAACTAAGAAATATATTCACTTTAATTGGTATATGTATGTTTAGTTACCAGTTATTTATAAGTAGATTATCTTTGGGGGATTATTATTTTAATTATATGAGTCACTATTTACTATTGTCAAATGGCTTATGAAGGGTTAATTCAATTGCTGTTATTTTTTAAAAATAGTAATTATAAATTTAGCAAGATATGAGTAATCTTAATTAGTCATGACATTATGCTAATCCCTAAATTCTTTAGGCATTGGTAACTGTAAAATATTGTTAATAGATTTTAAAATTTTTGCTACTATCATTTTAAAGCAATACTATAAATTTGTTTCAACCTGAATGAACAAATCTATTGACTTCACTTTCATTATTTGAGAAAATGGCAGTAAGTTTTCTTAACTTCAGGAAATATCTGATAGTTTTATTTATGCTTAAAATAAGAATGTCTTTCCCCATAGGATGTGTACTATGTGGGTGCTGATGTCAGCGACTCACAGTTACTAGGTGCGTGTGACAACCTGAAAGCAGCAGGCCTCACGGGTAAAATTGAGTTTCTTAAAGTCTCTGTTATAGGTAAGATATTAAAAATGCTTATTCAGCATTTGGGAAAATGAACATATGTAATTATTCCTCTGTATAAACCATTTTTCAGCCTCTTGCAAGCCCTCACTATTTGTAGATGCAAAGGCAGGAGAGAGCTATTGGAATGACAGTTGTTTAGAAGCCTTCAGTCTTGGGTAGAGTCCAGTGAGAGGATGAGACTCTAGAAAGTGAGAATCTCAAGGACAGAACTAACGGCTGTCTACCCTTATGGGAATACTGAGTGTGTGAGTTAATTGTGGCACGCAGGGTATAGTTATGACAGGGAGTGATGGATTCCCCATCTATGGGGCTGGGATGCTTCTATTGGCCTGAACATCTGTTGCAGGGATCACGCTAGAGCAGCGGTTCTCAACCTGTGGGTCGCGACCCCTTTGGGGGTCGAACGACCCTTTCACAGGGGTCGCCTAAGACCATCGGAAAACACATATATAATTACATATTGTTTTTGTGATTAATCACTATGCTTTAATTATGTTCAATTTGTAACAATGAAATTGGGGGTCACCACAACATGAGGAACTGTATTAAAGGGTCGCGGCATTAGGAAGGTTGAGAACCACTGCGCTAGTCAACGTTTATTTTTAAATTGCCAGTGCGCATCATATGTACTGGCCAGAGGGTTGGACGGACAGACCGTCGGTCACTTAGCCTTTTATATATATATATATAGATTATCATCTAAATTCTTTTGATGAAGCGACTGAATTAAAGAATCTCATTCTCCAAAATAAAAATATAAAAAAATTCAATGAAAGCTGTGGCTCATCTCTCTTAAAAATAAGAAGATATACACATGCAAAATTTTATATATAACTATGAAAGGGAAATGAAAGTTACAGAATATAATTTTGTAAAAGGTTTTTCTAGACAATTTAATGGATATCTTCTTGGATCTGTCTGGCAATTTTCTAGTAATGTTCTATGTTTAGAGAATTGAATTTTCTGGTTAATTTAAAATTCTGCTTAACATATCATTTTATCATACCTGAAAAACCAATTTTCAAAGAACAGAACATAATTGCTGTACCATTTACCTTCAGTGATTCTGAGATCCTTTTAGAAACTTGTAATTTCTTAGAAACAATATCAGATAACCTAAATTTTATTTAATATGCAAAAATAATCCTGCGTATTTTAATTTTCTCATCTTCAGGTTATAAATACTTGAACTTAATTAATAGGATTCTCTGATTTCTGTATTTCAGAATTGCCATTGCCTTCAGAAAGTGTCGATATTATTATTTCTGACATTCCATTTGGGAAAAAGTTTAAGTTAGGGAAAGACATCAAAAGCATTCTACAAGAAATGGAAAGGTAAGGTGTTGAATTTATTTCAGTAATTTTGAGCTATTGGGCATTTCACCAAAATATATTATAGCTCTTCAGTTAAGATTTGATTGCATTTTAATAATTTCCTAGAGTTTTTGTAGCTTAATTTTCTAAGGTTTTAAATCAGAAGTTTATGACTGAGAGAAAAGCAGTGGCTGCTTTAGATAGATAGTGGGGGAAGGCTCTCCAAGGTCATGGTAGTTGAACTCTGGGACCTCAATAATGAGAAGGCACATAAAGGAATGAGTGTTAAGTGCAGACCGACCAACAAGGTCAAATGTTCTAAGATGAGAAAAAGCTTATTGAGTTTGAGCAACTGAAGGAAGTTCAATTGCTCAGACCGTAGTGAGCAAAGGAAAGCAAGCAGGCAATGGAGTGGCAAAGGTAGGTGAGGGTCAGATCGTGTAAGAGTTTAGAATTTATTTGCAGTATAGTGGAAGAGAGAGTTAGCAGGGATTTACTTTTGTTTTCTATGTGGAGACTGGGAAGGGAGAGTGGAAGGAGCAACGAGAGTAGAAAGGAGATTGTTGCAATAGTGCAGCCAGATTTGAGGATGGGAGTGCTGTAGATGTGGTGTCCTTTAGAGACAGACTTATCTGGATTGCTGACTGTCCTGACATCTCTGCTGGGCGTGGGGAGATCCTCCTTAACTCTTGGTTCTCTAGCTGTCACACTGGTTCCTTACCTACACAGCCAGACTGCTTGACAGTAGTCTGCACTTGACATCTCTGATCTTCACCTCCCAGTCCCCTCCTGGTTCCAGCCAACCAGCACCTGCTCCTGCCCTCAAGTCAGATTGTTCTCTCCAGGTTCACTGGTGACTTCTTATAACCGTAGTCACTTGTTAGTCCTGTGGCATTTGACACTGTTGAGACCATTCCCTTCTTGAACTCCTTGGGCTTCCATGGCATCACTTTTGTCTAGATTTCCCCTAGGGTTGTGTTTCATGGGCTCTTCCCTTCTGTCCTTACTTTTTAAGCCTCTATTCCTCTGCCCCTTTTCTCTTCTCACTGTGCATTGCCACCCAGATCATCTTATCCACCATTATGGCTTTATCTTCCATTTACTATGGAGAACTCTAAAATCTCCACCTCGAGCCTGGTCTTTCTCATTACCTCCAGGCTGTATATCCAGCTGCCAATTAGAACCCACACTGATATCCAAACAGAATTCTTTTCCTCCCTCCTCCTCCCATCACCCTCTTATTCACCCTCATGCCAAACTGCTGTCAGTGCCGCCTCCTTTACTCCTCCCTGTCTCTGATGCTTCCTCTGCCTCCAACACCCTCCCTCGCTCCAGCCCCTAGTTGTCACTTGGCCTGGCTCACCTGCTTATCCTTTAACTCGCAGTGTAGGTTTGGGATCCACGCTTTGCTGGCCTCTCCCCTACTGTTCAGTAATCTCTTTAGCAACTCAGGACTGTATGTCATTCACGACTTTTCCACGTAAGTACTCTACAGACTTTGGCCAGAGGATTGAGTAAATGAATTCTCCTCAACAAGCTGATATTTTAAGGTCTTCCCTTTTGCCAATCCTTTGTTCATGTCTTCTTTCTTTCCTGGTGGTTTTCTTCTGGCATCAGCCGAGTGCCTTTGATATATGCTGATTCTTTAGGATTTTTTCATTTGCCTTTCCTTTTGTACAATCACTTATTAGAATATTATTATAAATTACTTTGAGGCTTGCCTTTTAAGTAGAGTAAAAATAGATAATTAAAGCAGATTTGTACTAGCGATTCCATAATTACTATAATGAATATGCATTATGAAAGATACTGCCTAATTATCAAAATTCCTGTATTTAAATAGATAAAATTAAATTTTGAATTAAAAACACCAAATATTTTAAATAAAGTGGGATTGTTTATTATCTGAAAAGGAGGAAATGCTCATACCAATATCATTTCTTGTCACAGAGTGCTTCATGTTGGCGGGACCATGGTATTGTTGCTTAGTGAAGATCACCGTAGGCGCCTCAAAGACTGTGAAGGGAGCAGCTTCCCTTTGAATTCCAAAGGCAGCCACTCCGATGAACCTGGAGCGGAAAAGTGCTTGATTCTCGAAGGAAAAACTGGCATATCAGAGACCGTGTCATCGTCATTTGAAGCCAATCACCAGGAATGCTTACATAAGATGCCACCATTTGGCTCCTTGGTGCCAGTGGAATGCTACAAAGTTAGCCTTGGGAAAACAGATGCATTTATACACAAATATAAGAAGTCATCTTCTTCTGGACTGTAGCAGGCTAGATCCTGTGAACCAATTTCAAGGCCTTACATGTCAGCCCTACAAAGAGGGGTTGCCTCTAGGGTCTGATAGTGCCACAGAGTAACAAGTAGACAGGTCCAGGGGGCATGGCTGCGGGACACAGGATTTTAATAAGAGTTTCTGCTTTAGGCTCTAAAGGGCTTAATGTTTCTGACAAAGAACAGTGAATACATAATTAAACTAAAATACTCTTAAACTTTGTATTTGAGAGAATAGGGGAAGGTCTGCTCTGCCTGCAGTGTTTGAGCTGAAGCTGCAACATCACAACTTTTCAGAGGTTCACAGAGCATATCAAAATCATCACAAGGTTGATAATATTTTAACTATCAGATTGTTTTGAATTTAGAAACTTTTATTTCTTTTGATATCAAACTTGATTTTTGAACCTATAATTTTTTTTCTCCACTGGAATGAAAAATGTTATGTGCAATACATTTTGTATGTTATATGTCTCATATTATGTGAAACATCAATGGGAATAATAACAATCTGAATTAAGCCAATATCCTCCAACATGGTAGAAAATTGAGTTTGCTTTTTTTTTTCTTAACTAATGAATAAACTGTTACCTCACTCTTCTTTAAATTAAATGCCGTCCTTGTGTTCACTACTTGAGAAGAAGAAACAGGAGAGGCCAATGTGGCTGCAGTAGAGTGAGTGAGCTGGAGGATGAGAGCTTAAAGACTGCGTGCGTGGCAGTTGGGGATGGCAGGTTAGATTTAAGGCCTTGAAGGCTGTTATTTTGACTTGGACTCAAAGCCACTGGAGAGTTTTGAACAGGTAGTAATCTAACATACATTTTACAGGATCACTGTGACTGCTGTATTGTGAATCAATTGTAGAGCGACAAGAGTAGAAGTAGAGAGGCCAGTTGAGAGGTTTTTGCAATAATCCAGGCAAGGGAAAACAGTAGCTTGCCCCAGGATGGTAGCAATAAAGGTGTAAGAGGCAGCTGAATTCTGAATGTATTTTCAAGGTAGAACCAATAGGATCTACTGATGTGTGTGTGGTGTGACAGATGGAGAAGAGACAGAAAAGACTGCAAAATTTTGGCCAAATACCTGGAATAATGGAGTTCCCACCAAATGAGAGGGAAAAGGCTACAAGAAGGACAGGTTAGGTGGGAAATGTCAGAAGTACAGTTTTAGACTTGCTGTTTTGAGATGTGTATTACACTGTGGACGAAAGGGGCCACATGCTGACCTGACAAGCTCAGGAGAGGCCTGCATGGCAGTTCTGCAGACTCGGAGACCTAAGGTAACCACAAAGGATGGTCTGAAATTAAACTTTAACTAAAAGCAGTTATGGTGGGCAGTTATGTCCTAGGCCGGTATCTTCACTGACAAGATCAACTTTGATCCTTACTGAGCCCATTTGCCTTTTTGCCTCTAAGATAACATACCCTTGAAATGTCTGGGTAACTTGTGACTTTCCTTTTTTCTGGAGCCCCTGGGGCACAACCAAATGTTCTGGGCGCCAGGACAGATACTATAAATTCCTTCATTATCATGTTAATTGATCCTGCTATCCTATCACAGAGGTTTCCCCCTGCTTCACTTAATCCCACCTCCTTAAATCTGTCACCAATGAATTTCATGTATAAATACGGATGTAACCCTGCCATTCTCCGGAGCACTATCTCAATTTGTTGAGATTCTGCTTCCCGGCATATGTCGACAGTTTGGCTCAAATAAACTCACAAAAATTCTTTACAGGTTTCAATGGTTTTTTACGTTAACAACACCAAGTGGAGATGTTGAGTAGGCAGTTGAATATATGAGGATGCAGTTTAAGAAAAAGTCTGCTCTGGAGATACAAATTTGAGGATTTTCAGCATGTAGGTGCCATAAAGCTGAATTGGATCACCCCAGGACTGTGTGTGGGAGAGAAAGGAAGGGGAGTAGGGTTGGTGTCTCCAACACTAAGAGGTTGGGAGCAGAGGAGGAATGATTGAGGCTGGAGGAAAACAAGAATGGTTGCCTGGAAGGCAAATGAACAAGGCATATGGTAGAGACAGTGATGAACTATTAAATACTGCTAGCTATCCAAGTCACATAAGGGCAGGAAATTGACCATTGACATAAACAATGGGAAAGTCATTCCTGACAATGGGAGTTTTGGTGGAGTGGAGGAGAAACAAAACCAGACCTGATTAGGCTTAACAAAACAGGAAAAGAGCTGGAGGTAGTATAGACAACTCATTCACCTAGTTTTGCTAAAAAGGGAGAAAATGGAGGTAGTATGTTGGTAGGGTGTGTGGAATCAAGACAATTATTTTTTTTTTAATGTTGACAAACTGTTCCAGGAAAGATGAAAAACTGATGAAGTAGGAAAAAGGGATAAATGCTGGAGAAGTGTCCTTGAATAAGAAGAAAACAATCTGCACAAGGAGGAATAAGCTTTCGATAAGGGCATGAATAATTTCTCCATGGTTACGAGTGGGAAGGCAGTATACAGGCATTTCTGCAATAACATGATAAATGTGCCCCTGAAAATTTTTTATTCTCAAATTCATGCACTAAAAATAACAATTTATGGAAAAAATCCGGTTGGAGTCAACTGTTACAAACCTATCTAACTTTGCAACCTGCATACTAGCAAAAACACCAGTCACCATAGTTATTTAAAAACATATATTTATAATAAATACATCAGTAAATAAAGAATTTCACTCCCAAGAAAAGGGCAAAGACAGCTTGATGGAATCTGACGGAAGGGTAGAAGCTGCTGAGTTGTACTATAAGCACTTCCAAGACAGAACCTCTGGCCACCCTGACCCAAGAAGAGGAAGGTGCGGTGAATAGGCATCCTGTAAAGTACCTCATTCTATAGCTTGTTCATTTGAATTATTCCACTGGTGTCCTTCACATTCAGCTGCTCAAAACATTAATTGTACTGGGGGGAAAAGTCACTTATGAACCCACCCAATTTCCACATTACAGTGATATCATCCCCCGACTGAGCCATAAAATATGAGTTAACATTACAGAAACATGCATTGAAGAACAGACCACAAGTGGGAGCAGATGCTGGAAGGTGGGCAGATGTGAAGGTAGACTGTGCAAGTTCTCTTCCATTTTCTCAGTGAAAAATTATGTGGTAATTTCCCCAGTTCCTGAGTCTACGTGGGAACAGCTCCCCTCGGCAATTACAGAATCCCCAGAGTAGCTTCCAACCCATAGAGGAAGGATGTCCATGACTGGAGGGTCAAGGTCATCCTCCTTAGGCTCTGCTGGCAACCAAAATAGCCAAACAAAAGCAATACCGTATCTTTGTAGGAACTGCAGCTCTTAGTGCCACCGTAGATGCTTAATGGAACTCTTTGGCATTTGAAAATCAACCTATGTCACCTTTGGGCTTGCTTGCTGCTCTGACTCAGTTACTTTTAATGGAGGCCTGGGCCAGAGAGGGCTCTCCAGCTGGTCCAGGCCCATTGTAAGCAGCTCTGCATTTCTGCCCTTATGACCTGGGAGGTCTCAGAATGTCTGTGGCTGACCATGAATGCTGTGTGGAGCCTGCAGCGAGTCCTAATAGAGCAGTGGTTCTCAACCTCCTGGCCCTTTAAATACAGTTCCTCATGTTGTGACCCAACTATAAAATTATTTTCGTTGCTACTTCATAACTGTAATGTTGCTACTGTCATGAATCGTAATGTAAATATCTGGTATGCAGGATGGTCTTAGGCAACCCCTGTGAAAGGGTCGTTCGACCGCCAAAGGGGTCGCGACCCACAGGTTGAGAACCGCTGTAATAGAGGTAGTACAGCTGCAGCCTCAGCTTTTGGAGCAAAGCCAAGCTCTCTTATGCAAGTAATTATTCTCCTTTTGGAAATAACTCTTGACTTGCTACTGAGGGTTTGACCACAGGACACTGAACTACCCATCTTGAACTGGGAGTGATTTGATCTACCAAGCCAAGTTTAGTGGGCCCAGCCCTGCATCACGCCCTCTTCAGGTGGAAAAGGAATATGTCAGCACAGAGCTCCAGGTGCCCGAGGGTCCTGGTGATATGCTGCAGCAGTCAGCATGGTATCCTGCGATGTGCCTCCTGCCTCTCTCTGTGCTACCCTCCCTCATGACCATTGTCTCATGGGAAATTCCCAATGAGCAGTTTGCCAAGGAGGTAAAAAGTCAAATCTGGTTTACAGATCGCTCTGCAAGTTTTGCTGGAATTTAACTGCTGGGGCATTTCGGCCCCACTGGGTCTGGGGGACAGTGGGGAAATGAAACCTCCCCAGGGAGCAGAACTGAAAGGGGTCCACACTGTACGCTTTGCTGAAGGAGAGAAGGCCTGAGAGGCGGATGCTCCCCAGGTCATGACACTAGCTGTCTGTTTGAAAGGATGGTCAGCAACATAAAGGATGTCTGAGGAAAAGGACAATGGATGGACATCTCAGGACAGGCCCAAGTATGGAAGGACCTTTGTGTCCCACTGGGATTGTTAGGAGTTCCCACTGTGGGGGAGGTCTGAGTGTGCAGGAGGAAGATTGCCTGCCTGTCTTTCCCTTTCCCCAGCCACCCTCGCTCAGTGGCCTCATGAACAAAGTGGCCATGGTTTCAGGGACAGAGATAATGCTTTGGCCCAATAGGGATTTCTCCTCAGCAAGGCTGGTTAGTTTTCAATAGCAGTGACTACCCCTGAGACTTGTTATAACACCACAGCCAGGAGGGAAATTGTAGTGGAGGGCAATGATTTGTCCTCACTGGAAAAACTACTCTTTCTTGATTTGGATTCTCAAGTCGCCTTGCGTGGACTTACCAAATTGCCTTATTCATTATCATTTCTTTGCACGCAACAATGCTTCTCACCAAAGTTCACCTACAGTGAAGTGAGACAATAGATAGGCTTGCCTGCAACAAAGGGCCCTGTGGCTGGGTGGAACAGCCCATTATTGTTCCCGCAGAGAGAGAATTCCTTGAGGGTGAGATGCCTCCCTACAAGATGCTAGGTGCACTATGACCCAGCGACCAATAGATGGTGCTCTTTCTCTCAAAGTCAGAATAAAGGGTCAATGGGTGAAAGTGGGAGGGGTACCTGTTACCAGATCACCTATTACCAGATCACCTCTAAGTGAGCACCATAATGGGACCAAGGGAGACGGCAGAAGCAGCTGGCCTCTGGGTCAGCAGGGACAGAGAAGCATTTGGGGCTCACCATCAATGGTACAAGCTATGGTGTGGGTGCCTAGCAGAGGCTGCAATGGGTCATATGGTTGGATGGTGGCCCTGCTCAGATAGCCACCCAGACTAGTTTTCTGGCCCTCTTGAACATCTTAACATTTTTAAATAAACCCCTTTGTTGCTAAACTTCCTGGAGTAGATTCTGTTCATTGTAACTGGACACCCTGTCCCGCACACCTGGGTTACTGAAGCACACTCCTGTTTGCAGGCCTATTCCATGGAGTGCCCCCTCCAAAGTACTTTTAATGTTTTGGTCTTACAAAGACTTTGAACAATACATTTTTCTTTTAATTCTGTGTCTAAGCCTTACATCTTTAAGAAGAAATAATATGTATGGTGATGAAGACCTTTGTGTACGTAACCAAGAGGCAGCAAACGGCAGGTAGAAAAACATGTTGCTTCAGTGACTC